GGTCTGGGCCCACCTGGTGGCCGCGCTGATCCTGCTGCTGCGGTTCCAGCAGCTCTCGCAGCGGGTGGATTTTGGACAGGACCTGCATGCCCAACCCCTCCTCATCATCATCGTGGCGTCCATCACCTACCTGACGTTCAGCACTCTCGCTCACCTTCTGCAGGCCAAATCCGAGTTCTGGCACTACAGCTTCTTCTTCATGGATTATGTGGGGGTGGCCATTTACCAGTATGGCAGCGCTCTCGGGCACTACTACTACGCCATCGAGCCAAGCTGGCATGAGAAGATCAAGGGATTTTACATGCCAGCAGCTGTCCTGTTAGCGTGGCTGTCCTGTGCCGGTTCCTGCTACGCCAAGTACCGGTACCACCAGTCCGCTCGCCTTCTGAGCCGGCTCTGCCAGGAGCTGCCCTCCGGTCTGGCGTACATGCTGGACATCAGCCCCGTGGTCCACCGCATCTACACCACGCCACCCTCCGAGCAGGCTGACCCAGCCCTTCTGTATCACAAATGCCAGGTGCTGTTTTTCCTCATTGGTGCGTTTTTTTTCTCACACCCTTACCCTGAGAAATGGTTCCCTGGGAAATGTCATTTCTTCGGGCAGAGCCATCAGATTTTTCATGTGTGCCTGGTACTCTGCACGCTGGCGCAGATCGAGGCAGTGGTCTTGGACTATGAGTCCCGGCGACAGATCTATTCCGCTCTTCAGGGTGATTTGGCCCACAACTTCTCTGCCCTGTGCCTCTTCACTGTGACCTGCTCTGTCCTCACAGCCGCTTACATGGCCCGGAAGGTGAAGAACAAGCTGAGCTTCAAAGAAGAGTAAGGAGAAGCAGGTGAGCTCACATGAACGGTTGAGCTGCAGCCAGCTGTGGCCATGCTGCAAGAAGATCAATGAAACATTAGCAAATTGTTACTCAGTAGTAGGGAGGCAAAATAAGAGCTGCTTTTTATATTTTATTTTTTTTTTTTAAATTCAGAATTAGCTCAAGTTTGCTCTTAAAATGGTACGCTAGTTTAATTCACGTGTCTGAATAAACAGTTTGAACAAAATGTCGCCATCACTGTAGCCCTGTACCCTGGGCTGGGAAAGGCTCTTGGAAGGAACCAGGTCTTGGAGTGAAGGTAAGGAGATGCCTCTGCCACCCCCCGTTAACCGTGGCAGCATCCAACCCATGGACACAGACCATAGAGGTATAAGGCACAATCAAGGATAGAAAATACATTTAATATCATTTCAGGCCCCCTTGATTTGGCTTAGGGAGCTGTACAGAGCTATCGATGCAGTGAGGGGGCCCTGTCCCGTACCGGGGGAGCGCCTGGGGGTGTGTGAGGAGAGCGTGGACCCTGCCCTTGAAAATGCAGTGAGGGGGAGGGTGTGGGGCTGGGTTGTTCCGAGGGAAGCGGAGCCCCAGGGCAGTGACAGCGCCCTCGGCACCCGGGGTGGGGGCCCAGGCCCTGGGTGCAGGCACAGCTGTGCTGGCTGTAAGGGGTTGAAGGGCGGAGAGGCTGCGAAGGCGGGGGGGGAGCTGCTGGGCCTGCAGCTGCG